GGAAAGGGTTCTCCTATTATTTTTCTTGATTTGGCAGGAAAATTTAAAAGTCATCCTCTGGGTCATTAAAAAGCTCTTTCTGCCCTCAAAAACTCTGTGAGTCTCAATCTGTCATCTGAGATGTAGCTCTTGCCTCTAAAACACCTTCCAGACTTTTCTATCGTGTCCCATTATCTAGGTCCATACAGTTAAAATACTCCACCTCCAATTTCTCCAGACAAACATATCTATGAACCATAAAAATGAAATAGCAAGAATATACCATGAATGCACTAGCCTGCTCAAGACTGATGCCTTGGCATCCAACACCAACTTTTTTGTTTCTTTTCTTTAGGCCTGAGGCGTGTGTTCATTTGCAAAACAGCCCTGCTGAATTTCTTCTTTGGGCCATTCTATAAATACTTACCAGATTTTCTGAGGGAAAATAGCTTTGTTTTAGGCCAGTGGTTCTTAACTGGTACAGTTTTGCTGCCCAACAGAGATATTTTGGTTGTCTACGTTCTGTCCCAACTTGGGGTGTAGGGAGTTGCTGTTGGCCTCTAGCAGGTACAGTTAAGCATCTTACAAGTCACTGTAGGCAACTTGCTCCCCCATTGCTCCAGAATAAAAAATTATCTAGCCCAAAATGTCAACAGTGCTGAGGTTGAAAAATCCGGTTCTAGGTCAAGTGGAAGAACTGTATGATGTCATTTGCATTGAGAGTTGGGGGTGTGGGAAAATCTCTACTGAGATAACACATACATACAGAAAAATATAAACATATTGTTGGAAGGAGGGGGCTCTGGAGTAAAGTGATAAGTATTTTAGGAACTTATTAAGTCAAAGCGCTCAAAGAATGAGCACATAGGGGAAGAGGCAGGAGGTAAATACACTTGTATAGGACACATAGCATGGAGTGTTTTTAATGATCAGAGATTCCTCTGGGTTGAAACAGAGATGAAAATGTAGAAGCCCAAAGAAGCCAGATAGTCAAGGGCCTTGGAGTACAAGTGTCATCTGTCTGGTCTTAAAAAGCATAAGAGGAGTGGATAAAGCCCATAATGGTAACATATATGCTGGTCCCCCATGTGGCAAGGTATGGCATAGTGTCCATGATAAAATTTGCTGCTAAGGCCACTTGCATGCTGTCCGGGGACAAAGCTGGGTGTCTGAGGTGGGGTAACTGAAAATGACTTGTGTTTAGCACATGCCCCAAAGCCTATGACAACATAGGAGCTCCACTGTGAAGGCCTCACACTATGGCGGGTGGTGGATTGTGGGGTGGGCCAGCTTCTTCAAGTACTAGGGGAAGAACTCGTTGCCTAAAAAGAGCCTTAGGCTGGGCGTCAGGTATGTAAGTCTTGGAGCTAAATGGGGCTAGATCCAAACCCCAGCTCTGCTGTTTGCCTTTGGGGCAATCTGAAACACAGTGGAGGAGTGTTTCCATTTTTCCACATTCTGTTATAACTGAAATACGCTCTTTCTTCTTAGTTGCTGGCCCAACGCTGGAAACATTCGTAGGGGCTAACATTAACACCATCCTTATTACAAACCTCCTCAGTGGAATGGACTACAACGTGAAAATATTTGCTTCCCAGGCCTCAGGTTTCAGCGACGCTCTAACAGGCGTGGTGAAAACACGTAAGACTGATGTCCTGTCATTTCATCCCCTACATGTGGTTTTGCTGCTCTGTTTTCCCTATAACTCAACCCCTGCTTCAACTTGGTGGTTGGTTTTTCTTTTCCTCAGCCTTGCCCTTTCTGGATGGTGTTTCGTGGAAAGAAAGGTGTGCTCCTTACTCAGGGCTATAGTTCAGAGTCCTAGTTGGCAGACGGAATGTCAGAACCTGGCATTCCAATATATTTAATGGTGGTGGATGGGATTTCCTTCTGGGAAGTCTTTGTTGGTATTTTTCAAATTAGGTGAAATTTTCCAACCACCCTGTATAGCCCGATGCGGCCAAAACCCATCGAAGTTGAGCCAGGGGGAAATTTGCCTTTTCTCAAAGCCTTTGCCCCTCCTCCCTCTCTCTCTCTCTCTCTCTCTCTCTCTCTCTCTCTCTCACACACACACACACACACACACACACACACACACACACACACACACACCATCCATAAAAGATACTTGCACCACTCAAAAGACTTCCTTCTCTATCTTTTAAGGGTTTACATGCTGTCTGCTCACCATCTGGGACTTCTCCTTGGCATGCACCACTCGCAGACACCCATGGCATAATGCAGTGTTTTCCAACTCTAGCACATATGTTCCATATTCCTGACGTTTGTTATGCTTCCACACCATCTGTTTAATATATTTCTTTAAATGGACTTACAGTTTCTGTTTTTTTTTTTTACTCAAATGCTTTTAAAACCCACAGATTACTCTAAACAGAAAACCAGTATTTTCAATACACGTTAAAGGTTAATACATAAATGACCAAAATAAAAATGATTTGGCTGTGTGATCACTGAAATTATCCTGAGTGCTATCAACAGTACATGCCCCGCATCGAGAATGATCATCGTGGTATAATCAGAAGTATAAACCTTAAATCTTCTCCTTATTAGCTAAGGCCTTGAGCAAATTACTTAACTTCTCTGAGCCTAAATTTTCTCAACTCCAAGATGAAGATAATCATAACTGTTTACAGGCTGCTTGGCAGGATTAAAGAGATAATGTATAAAAAGTGTCTATCATATGGCAAGCACTCAATGAATAGCCACTATTATTATTGTAATAATTGTGCTTTATGCATTTGGGCCATATCTCACTCTGACTGCTAATCAAAAAATTAATCCAATAAAAGGAATTTGTAAGGATGAGGCATATATTAGGCCAAACCCCAAGCCACCAATTTCTGGCAACTATGTTTTATATAGGGCCTATCCTTTCATTAGAGAAAGCTTCCTGAATTCTCTTTTATGGAATATCTTTAGATTTTAAAGGCTAGATATGGAATCAGTTTAATCTCAGAAGAAATAGTCTCTGTCTTCAACAGACCTAGGAAGGCTTTGGCCTGTGGTTCTGATCTCGTACTTGGCTGTTGAAATGATACTGTTTTAGGTACTACTGTAAACTGCAAGTAATTTCCCTGTGTTGTGCCATTGTAGCAACCCCTCAGTCCCTCCTTAGGAACAGCTTGGAGTCCCCTGTACATTTCCCTACCCTTTCTTACCTCCCTCCTCTAGTTTATCTTCATTTTCCTCTGCAGATTACCCTTTCTGTTTGTGCCGTGTTTTATGTCCATGATGTTCTATTGGTCTTTCTTCTTACTCTTTCTTGCCCCTTTTTAACCTCCTTTCTCTGCTCCCCTCTTTCTTCTGTTTCATTGCTCTTCTCCCCTTTAATAAATGTGGTGATTATTTCCAAATATATTTTAAAAGACTGAGGGTATTGAGCTGTTTTATAGTCTACCCTTAAAGTAAAAATTAGATTGGCTTATTATTTGTTTTCTCTCTTTCTCCCAAGCAAGATAAAACCCCATACAATGGCAAACAAATTAATTCAAGGTGTTTTTTTAAATTTAGTGTGGTTATATAAATCGTTATTGATTTCCTTTTTTGTTGGGGGGAGAGGGTTGTTTAATTGGCCTCAGGGAAGGCGGTTTTCCCTTGCTGACCTAACAGGAAGGAATAATGTCAAGATGCAAACGGTGATTAGTCCAGATTATCTCTACTGTCTTGAAAAGTAATTATAAGCTATTTTTAAACTTTATGAAGTAGACAAAAGAGAGGGAAAGTACGAGGAAATGATGTGGATGAAGCCAGAGGTCATTAGAGAAGGTAAACATTCTTAATTTTCTGCTTTTTCTGCTCGGACCTAAGTGATAAACACTGAATGTTTAGTCCTCTATTGTATTTTGGAGAAACAATATTTTTACTGCTTCCGCAAATAAACTCCCTGTGAATCATTTTTGAATATCCCAGTGTTTGCTCTAAGAGTATAAGAATCTGTGTATTTCTTTTGATTATTTTTTATCTGTGTAAAATCTTTCCTTTTTAAATTTTCACATATGTATCCATTCTCATTCAATCATGTTTTGAAGGCCAGTTCGTGTGAACTGTTCCTGTCTGAATAAGACTTCCCCTTTGTCTGCTTTGCTCTTCCCTTTCATTTAAACCATGACTATCTTTCAGTTGTTGATGAGTGCATATTGTATTAAACGTTTTTATTATAAAAGTATTATATATTAATTGTGGAATATTTTAAAAGCACACATAAATAAAGAGGAAAGATTTAAAATCACCCGTAAGTTTACTACCCTTGCTTCTGGTCTTTTCCAGAATATATATTTTCTTTTGTGTTTGCAAATAGCAGACAGACCCTATCATACATCATGTTTTGTAACTGCTTTTTTTTTTTGCTGTACGCGGGCCTCTCACTGTTGTGGCCTCTCCCTGTTGTGGCCTCTCCCGTTGCGGAGCACAGGCTCCGGACGCGCAGGCTCAGCGGCCATGGCTCACGGGCCCAGCCGCTCCGCGACATGTGGGATCTTCCCGGACCGGGGCACGAACACGTGTGCCCTGCATCAGCAGGCGGACTCTCAACCACTGCGCCACCAGGGAAGCCCACAACTGCTTTTTTAAGTCATAAAATAGTTCATCTTTTGTGCACTAATTTTTTGTGACTTGACGAATTTCCCACCACTGGCTATGGAACTTTGAATTCGAATTTTACCATGTTAATTCAGACTTGGGGACATTTGTGGCATTGTCTGCAATGTGACATAGTTATGTTTCTATTTCACTACAGTGTTTTTGGGTGTGACCAGTCTTCAGGCAGACCAGATCCAAACGACCAGCTTGTGTGCTCGCTGGCAGGTGCAACGTCATGCCACTGCCTACAGGATAGTTATAGAATCCCGCCAGGGTAAGTGCAATCCATCACATATGTTTTTGTCAAGCACTCATGTACTCTGTGCCAGTCACTGTGGACAACACACAAGGAACATTAGACGAAAGCATTCTTCTTGAGGAGGCAATATTATGTTATGGATCGTTCAGGGTTTGGAATCAGGACGGCTGGTTAAGCCAATTTTTTAACCTCTCCAAACCTCCATTTTCCCATCTGTAGTTAATGGGTAGAACCGTAGTGCTGATCTTGTGGCATTCTGCTAGGATTAAGCTCAGAGAATCCATGTAAAACATTTGCAGCAGTGCTTTTGCACATATTAAGCACCCAGGAAATGTAAGCTGCCATTGGTGATAGGAGCTGAATAGGCAGGACTGATAACATATGTTAAAATTATATGGCGCTGTTATGTTGGTCTTTACTCCATGGGGATCTAGGTTTGACTCGAATGTTTTTCTCAGTGGTTTTTTTTTTTTTTTTTTTTTTTACTTTTGGGGATAATTGATGAGCAGCAAACCCTCATTCAGGAGATGATATGAGGTATCTATGCTATCATGGACAGGTTCTTCAGCATCACAGCTCTCAAGTACATCTACAATTTGGGACTTGGCTTCAAAGTTGAAACACTAAAAATGTCTGCTTATTTTCACTAAAAGTATCAAGAAGAGTGACAAAAGACTGATTCCCCAAAAATGAGTTTCTAGGGATCATTAATCCTTTTTTCACATTATCAGCATGAGTAATATTCAGAAGATGAGATACAATAATGAAAATTACTTTAATCAGATTTGTATTATCAGTAGAAGAGATGTGTCTTGTTATTTTGGGGGAGGACATAGACACTAGAGAATCCCAGATGATTTTTTTAAATCTTTCAAACTTGCTAATAAGATCGTTAAATTTTTTTCTTTCTGGGTAAATGATCATGATTTCCCCATTTGAAAAAGCAGAAAGAGCTAAGTTTTCGGGTCTGGATAGGACTGAATTTAGTTCGTAGCCCACATCCCTGGCTATAACTACATTCAACATGCAGAAATCCCACTTTTGATCCAGTCCAGAAACTGGAAAGCACAGTTTAGTAGAGTGCTGAGAGTGTTTGGACATATGCTGAGAATACGAAAATAGGCGATGAGGACACCAGAAGAGATTCCTGCCAACACCAACCAAGGCATTGTCTCCGCAGGCGTGCTTAAGCTATTAATTCCTTGATTCCCTGCATGTGATCCCGTAAGGGTCTCTTTATCCAGACATTGGCTAAGCTTATGGGAGTGGCTTTAATCTGGAATAAACATTGAATAAGGGAAAGTCAGGACAAATCATATGGGTTTTGTGGTGGTTTTATGTGATTTATGGGATGCTTAAGCAGAATTAGATGAAAGATATGCAACTGTTTGAGAAACAACTATAAATCTTGAGGAGTTATGTTTCATTTATCTTTTTAAGACTAGCTAAGTCACACTTTAATATAGAAGGGTTGACATTTATCACATTTGGTGGTATTTGTTAAGCTTTAACAAAATAGTAGCTATAAAAATCACACTTCCAAACTACTCCAGAATATTTTTATCTTTTATATCATTTAAGAAGTTGGCATTGAGACATAGGTTCCTGTAGATATTCACTGGCTTTCATTAAAAATTGTAATTATGTAGATTGACATAAAGATATCAAAACTGTCTATCATGGGATTAGTGAAATCCACCAGTTTATTATTTTTTTTTTTAATGATTTTACTTTAGCATATTTGCAAAATGGCACTGGGATTCTTATCAGAGGATGTGATTGATGGGTCTGATAACATTGATCTGGTAATTTAAAACCTCAGTATGCTCTTTCTGATGCCCAGATTTTTACTAGCAAACAATGCAAGTCCCTATTTCCTTCTTCCAGTTAAGTCAATTTGTACTCTCCCAGGATTGTTTTCAGGCTGCCAAAAACCTCTTTGACTGAGCCTCAACAGTCTCAATTCAATAGGAATGAACAAAAGTGTTGCTCAATTTATTTTTCATCGGCACTTATAGCTGAGAGATTTCTAAGCCCAGTTAGCCTACATCTTATTCACTCAGGTGTCCAACTGCATATTATTAACCAACTAGACAGCAACAGATTCTAATTGATGTTTAGGGTGGGGAGATAATGTGGGGAGAGCAGTAGGGAATATGTTTAGATATTTTAACTTACACAGTTTAGGTCAGGGAAGAGTCTTTCCACGTTGGAGTGGGGAAGAATTAGGTTGAGTTTCTTTATCTCACAGAGAAATGTGATCATTATCCTGATCACTGCCTTCGAAGGACTTGTGATCAGATGCCCCTTCTTCCATGGGCACATGAGTCCCAGGGCTCCCGCTTTTTTAACTCTGTAATATCTCCCACTGGCTACATATGCTACCTCTGTAGAAATTTTAGCCCTTCCCCCTCAATCAGAGGAGAAACTAGAGAGAAATGGGACCCAATTCCTCCATGCGATGGAGAAAAGCCTCATCCCAGGCTGGCTTATTTATGAATGTCTCTGCCAAACTCCTACTGTTTGACAGGTAGTTTTCTCAGTGTGTGTGTGTGTGTGTGTGTGTGTGTGTGTGTGTGTGTGTGTATTTCCCATGGTCTGGTCAGTGCACTTTCATCCTGAGATGAAGTCGGTGGGTTTGCGTCTGCTCTGACCACAGCTGCTGGTCACCTTTCTTCTCTGGGCTTCAGTTTCTCCTAAATGACTTCTTTTGAGGCTTTCACCTGAGGTAATACCTATAAATTTCCAAGGTTTTGTGAATAAAGCAGCAAGGCTGTATCATTCAGGTTTGCTTGTTTTGTTTGGTAGTGGTAGAAACACGAATAAAAGGGACTTAAGCGAAAGGGTCAATTTCTTGGCTAACATACTGAGAAGTTCAACAGTATCTGGCTTTAGGCATGTCTAAATCTAGGTGTTCAAACAATTTCATCGAGATGAAGCCTTGCTCCATGCTTCTGCTCTGCTCTCCTCTGCCTTCGTTCTCAGCCAGATTGTGAGTTGGCCCCAGTCTAATCCAAATTACATACTCCTAGCTTCCAGCTTAATAGTTTTACTGAAAAGAGAACTCCTCTTTCTCAATTATTCCTACAAAAGTCCAGGAACTGAGTTGTATTGGCCTGGTTTGGGGTCACATGCTCCTAAATCTGTTATTGAGTTCAAGGGCATGAAATAAAATTATGGGTGAAACCTGGTTACTTCCCAGCCCTGTGTCTGGAGGGGTAGGTGGGCGTTCTTATTCAGTCCTTTCCAAATCAAAAAGACTCAGAGTGGGGAGGAATGGATTCAAAGAAAGAAAGATTAGATGCAAGACAGGCAAAAACAACAGCTGTCCTCTACCCGTGTAAATATTTTGACTTTTTTTTTTTTTTTTTTTTTTGCGGTACAAGGGCTTCTCACTGCTATGGCCTCTCCCTTTGCGGAGCGCAGGCTCAGTGGCCATGGGTCACGGGCCCCGCCGCTCCGCGGCACGTGGGATCTTCCCAGACCGGGGCACGAACCCGTGTGCCCTGCATCGGCAGGCGGACTCTCAACCACTGCGCCACCAGGGAAGCCCTTGACATTTTTTAATTGCCAATAAAGAGAAAAAGAAAGATTACCAGAAGAATCAAGTACTCTCAAGAGAGACTGAATTCAGATCTGCTTTTGAGTCAGTCATCCACTTTCCAAATTAAATTGTAGGCTTTTGGTTAATCGTAGGACAGACCAAAGTCAGAGACTTTGGGGTGGTTTTGAATAACCCAGAACCCCATGAGACCCTCCGTTAGTTCTGCAGATGCTCAAGAGTTCTGTCTCTCTGTCCAGCTGTTTCTGAGTTGAAGTGACACCGGAGGTTGGATGTAGTGTTTCCCTTCAAGTTCATGTATTTATACAGCACATGGACCACGATACTGTATTCCCTCCCTAATCACATTAACTTGGTGACTTTCTTTTTCGCCTGATTTTTTAAAGTTTCAAAGAATGCTCAACTTGTCTTCTATCTTTCGGTACCAAAATATCAGTTTTGCTGTGTCATCCATTAACAAGAATACAGAATTGCAGCATAGTGGAGAGCCTACCTTATCAGGGACCAGATCCCCCCCCAAATGATCATATGAAACAAAAACCTATTCTCAAGATTAAACTTTTTTTGAAGCAGTGATATTATGCTTGGGGGTCAGGGTATTTGAAAGACCTGGAGAGTGGAAGCATATATCATTAAATTCCAGCTGACTATCCTGGATCCTGGATATTCCTTGCTTGTGGGTCTCAGTAACCACTCATAGGACATTTGGGGGAGTCAAGTTGGTATCAGGATGATCCCTATGACAGTAACTCAGAGAATGTATTTAGCCTTGCTTCATAAGAATGAATGCACAATGACAGATTTTTTTCCCCCGTTCCAAAAAAATAAATTTAACTCCTGGCTTTTGGCACAAGGTGTTGAGGAAATTAATCATCATTTGATCGCATTAAATGTTTTTCTTTAAGGCAAAGCCATTAGACCTGAATCACACATGCCAAAAGCATCATGGATACATCCCCATTCATGTAACCCTTCTTCGTTAGCACTGGGATCAAACTGATTCTGTTTCCCATTAATTTTCCTGTATCTGTTCCAGTTTTCCAATGATTTGTAGATTTTTTGTTTTTGTTTTTGTAGTAGTAGTGAAGCCCATTTATATTCTATTGTCAAGGGTCTGTGACATGGGTATTCATGAGAAATAGAGGAAATGACAGAAAAGTGCATTTCTAGGATTGATTCCTGGAGAGTCCTGGAAGCTTTGGTGGAGATAGATAAAGATGATCCATGCATGGATTTGGGAAATGTTTGTATTACAGGTGGCTCACAGAAGCTTGCAGGAGGCTCCAAAGAGTGGTTAATGGTCAGAAGGAAGCCGCTATTATGGAGTTCTGAGCCTGGGAACCCCAGACTGAACTTGGACATCAGCAAAGCAGAGGGCAGGGTTTACTAATATTTTCTTACTATTAAACTCCTTTCACAGCAATACATAATCTCACAAACACCTTAACAATTTTTTAGTTCATTATTTTGAATAATATATGACACAGAAAATATTGAGGTAGACCTTAAGTCATTCCACATAAATACATTACTAGAGATTATATTATGTTCACTTTTGAAAGTCTTTAATATTCACAATTATAAAAATAAATTTCAAATTGCTTTCAACAAATGGCCTTAATTTAATTATATTTAAAAAAATCAGGATTTGTCCATAGACAAAATTTTAAATGACATATATCATGTTTGTTCTGACATGTATGTTATAATAAATATATTTTTGTTCATATATGTATTAGATATTATACTTTCAAAATAGCCCCAAATCACTTGTTAACATCTTCAAGTTTTATGCTTAAAAAAGCAATTTTTTTTTGCTCTATCTTTTTTAAAATTTATTTATTTTTTATTGAAGTATAGTTGATTTACACTGTTAGTTTCAGGTGTACAGCAAAGTGATTCATTTATATATATGTGTGTATACATATATACATATGTATACACACATATATACATATGTTTATATGTTCTTTTTCAGATTCTTTTCCCATATAGGTTATTACAAAATATTGAATATAGTTCCCTGCAACTGGTATTTTTTAATATTTTCTATATTTTGTTCATATTTAATAAACTATAAATAACATTTTGCAGGAGTTCTCAGAAATATGTATAATATCTAATCAATGTAGTTTTTAAATACTGGTTTTTAAATTCCTAGAAATAAAACTATATAAGGCTTTGACTAGGATGCAATTTGTGGATCAGATGAAAATCAATCTAGAGGGAAATTTGCATGGTAGTTTTTTTCATGGTAGCAGGGATTCTTCTTAACCAATTATCCATGGTTAAAAAATAAATAATGGTTAAAAAATAAATAAATAAACATTCTATGCCTATGAAAAAAACCCCATTTTAAATTCTTCAGTAATGGAAGCCACCAAGGTAGGCAGCTGTGTCCAATGGAACTATAAAGCACTGAGCCACGAGGACTCATGTGATCTCCCTACTGTCATGCTTACTAATTTCATATGCACTCAGCAGCTCTCCAACTCTTTCGTTTTGAAAAAAATTGTATAGTTAACTTATATTATTCTATGATATATTAATGGAAATTAAAGCAACATCCTCTGAGACTGGGCTTCAAGTTCTGAATTTACATTTCACTTCTGCTACTTAGTGTATGGACTTGGGTAAGCTACTAACTTTCCTAGCCTTCAGTTTCTTGTCTTTAAATTGGGGATAATTATAAATATTATAAGGATCCAATGAATTAATACACATAAAATCCTAAGAATAGTGCCTGGTACGTGGTACGTACTCACTAAATGTTGGCCATTACTACCTTTGCTCTTATTTTTATCATTAAATACCAAGCACTGAACCAGGTACCATAGTAAGCTCTCAGGAAGTGACTAATATAATTAATCCAACTTCTCCCAGTCTCCAAACCTGAGGGCAAGCACTAATTCTTCTAGGAAGACAAAGAAATTTTGCTGTGGATATGGGAATGAAGAAATTAGCCAACAGTTAATCAGACCTCCTAAATGCTTTGTCATGCCTCTGCCATGGTGGAGCCAGGACAGAGAAGGTGGCAGTGGAAATGGCTGTGTGTGGCATGTCTCCTTGGTAGAACAAAAAGAATATCGGAACCAGGAGTTGGGAGACCAAGATGTATGGGATGATTTATGGTCGTAAGCCACTTAAGCACCATGTCCTATTTCCTCAATTATGATTTTAAAAGAATAAAAAAGGATCTTTAAAGTGAATCCAAGGAATTTGGAGAGCCTCCTCCTAGCTTCCTAGCAGTCTCCTTTGCTATCGAAAGAAATCCTGAGTGTCAGTGAAAAATCAAGACTGAGAGGTATGAATTGGACAGTCCGGGGACACCCTGGCTGTCCCAGTGCTGTTCCAAGCTCTTGCCTGCATTTGTGGCAACTATGCAAACCGCCTGGACCCATAGATGAAGCTTCTGAGACCCTGGAAGCCCACTTCTTAGCCCACAGGCATGAGACCTGCTTAGCTCCCTACAATTTCTAACTCCATACTTATATCTTTAGGCCACTGGCAAGAACGGCATCCTATTGTATGGTGATAAGTTGTATGGGGCCAAAAGGATGTATCTTTTTATGTCAAGTTTTAATTGTTTGTGCTCTGGAGAATCATATTGAATAAAAGGGAATTCTAATTTTTAGAATTATATAAATATATATATATAAATATACTCACCTTGACACCTGTTCAAAAGGTCAATTAAGATGTGTACATATAATTATAAACATGAACAGTTCTCCATTTGTTAAAGGATTGACCTCAGCAGCCTTTTACTAGTCAGTCTCATTTCTGAACATGTAAAATGTGATTTTCAATTATATAAAAAAACAGTGGAAATGTTAACTCTTTAAAAAAAGATACACCCCCTCAAACAAGTTTAATTCATTCTGGAGTTATCTGAATAGGCCATGCATATTAAGCATTTTAGAAGCAAATCATCTACTGATGGCTGTTTTTCAAAAGTTTTTTAAAAGTTCATGTATGTGTGTTTTGTTCATGGATGTTTTGTTTTGTTTTTATTATAGATACACAAAAGCAAGAATCCACTCTGGGTGGAGGGACAAACAGACATTGCTTCTATGGACTTCAGCCTGATTCAGAATATAAAATCAGTGTTTACACAAAGCTCCACGAGATTGAGGGACCCAGTGTGAGCATAACGGAAAAAACACGTAAGTCAGGGCTTCCCTGGTGGCGCAGTGGTTGAGGGTCCGCCTGCCGATGCAGGAGACACGGGTTCGTGCCCCGGACCGGGAAGATCCCACATGCCGCGGAGCGGCTGGGCCCGTGAACCATGGCCGCTGAGCCTGCGCGTCCAGAGCCTGTGCTCCGCAATGGGAGAGGCCACAGCAGTGGCCCGCGTACGGCAAAAAAAAACAAACAAACACGTAAGCCACGCGTGTTCTCTCCTGATCCCTGTCTTCATGAACAAATGGTATTTTAGGCGTCCTGTTTTGGTTCAAAAATCTTTAGAAAAATATTAGCCATTGCTGTGTGGGAATATCTGTAATACAAATTTTGTGTGTCTTATTCAGTCCCAGAATTCCCTGCTTGTGGCCCACTAATGTCATCTGTATGGTTTTTTTCCATCCTCCATATGTTGTCACGGGGACTATAAGGCCATAGGATGGCAAAGTGCTTGAAACAATGACCTATATTGTGATCTATTTCCATTAGGAACATCTGTGGAATGTGGAGTGTGAAATGAAGTGTAAGGACTGGGTCCCGACATTAAAACAATGGCACATTACTACAGCCATGAGGGTGGGAATGGAGCCAAGACGTTCCAACTGGCTGACGCTAGACTTGCCTACTTAAGAGGCTCTCACTCTTTTTCCAAACTGGCTGGAAATCTGACGCACTGAAGGGAAAGGCAAAGTATAAAATGAAAACAAGGCACTTTTTACATGTTCTAAACAGCAAGGAGGGTATCAACTTCTTGGTATGTCAACTTCTTGGTATCCTTTTAATCAAGGATTCCTGACCTAGAGGCCACAAACATTAAAATGATTTGAATGGTAGTGAATTCCAGGGGACATTTGTGTGTCCCCAACTCAGTATCTTGAACTTAAACTTGAAATCCCCAAAGATTGGTATAGGAATAGGTGGTGGGCGATGGGCTTTCTTGGTAGCCCCTGTATCATGCATTTGATGTTTAGAAAGTTCTACTACCTGTGTATGTAGGCCTTTCAGTTGCTCTGAACATGAAGAAAGAAATCATCATCAATATATATAATCTTCCAACAGATAAGATGAAAGTATAGTTAATGGAATCATCTACTTTCCAACACAGAGACTTTATTTCATAACACTGAAATATTCAACAGTTTACATGACACATGTATTTTTAAGGTATAATTTACATTCCATAAAATTCACCCATTTTAAGCATACAATTCAATGATCTTTGGTACATTTAAAAGGTTGTGCAGCCATCACTACAATCCAATGTTAGGACCTTCCCATCAATCCAGAGAGCTTTCAAGCTCATCCCCAGTGAGTCTTCTTTCCTACTGTCTGCCCCAGGCAGTCTACTTTCTTTTCTTGTACATTTCTAGACATTTCATGTAAATGGAAATACGTAATATGTAGTCTTTTGCATCTGACATCTTTCACTTAGCATATGTTTTTGAGGTTTATCCACAATGGAGAATGTATCAGTTGTTTGTTGCTTTTGATTGCTCATTAGAATTTGTTTTATGGATAGAGGATTATATAATTTCAAAATTATTAGAGGCCTGGTAGTGCATGAGATTTAGAGTCAAATAGGCTTGGTTGGTGTCCTTTTTAGCACTGTGGCCTTGGGCAATTTAACGTCTCTGAGCTGCTTTTTGCTTACCAATAAAATTAAATACCTGCTCTCTTACCTCCTTTGGTGGTGGTAAAGATCCAATGAAAAGAGCCTGCTGAGGAACTTCTCAACCTGTATCTTATTGAACAGGTACTTTTGTTATCACCCTTGCTGTCTTCCCGGAAGTCACAAACTGATGGTCATGGGGTTAGATCTCACTGTCAGCTATGTTTTTCTCTGGGCGATTTTATTTTTTAAGTTTTAAAGTGTTCTTGAAAATTCAAAAGATCTGACAACACAGGGCACACAGATCCTCATGGTGCTACATCTACAGAAACTCAGTAACTGCTGTCTCTTTTAGACAGCGTATGTGCTCTTAAGTTTGTTATTCCTTAATGTTTAGGCTATGTTCTTTGCTCCCATTCATTACTTGACTGACCTCTAAAACTATTTGAGTTTGGGGACTCTGGTTTCCTTCAGATTCCCCTAACCTTAACCTCACAACTGTTAACTACCAGTCCAGGGTTATTTTGGAAAGCTCTGTTTGGTGTAAATGTTTTCCTTCTGTTGGGGACATGTGTCATCTTATAGCTTCTACCCACTGGCTCTAGTTCAACCTTCTGAAGCAAATGCAGATTGAGACTGTTCCCTCTTCTATGTGACAGCTTCTCACAGACTTGAATACAGGGACCATCTGTGTGCCACACAGAGAATATAAACACATGTTCCCAGTTCACTGTGGTTCTTCTTACCCAAGAGACTCTTAGACCAGATGTTCTGACCAAACATACTGATCTGGCTTCCAGAGCCACTCACTGATTTTGTTCTTGATTTATTGACTAAAGTTAGGATATGCCTCAGTTTTTCACATTAAAGAAAATGCACCATTGTAAAGATGACCCACTGCTTCCACAAATTTTAAGATAAATACATCTGGCTCTAGAAGGATTTTATGGTGCTTTCAAAAAAGTTTTGCAGTCCTAGTTTTAATATTTAAATGTCTCAAATGCTTTTACTTTTGAAACTTTTTAGTTTCCAAAAAATTGCCTTTAAAAGAAAAAAGTGATATTCTATATCTGTAATAATGCAACAGAAGGTATATATTGTGTTGTCTCCTTCCCTCTTTCCTCATTCTTTCTTCCCAGAAATACCCATTTGTACCAGCTTGGTCTCCTTCAAGAAATTCTACCTGTTACCTGTTGTGTGTGTGTGTGTGTGCGTGTGTGTGTGTGTGTGTGTGTAACCATATAGATAAATCAATATTATATTTATCAGTTAAATAGGATTTTTTCATTTTTCACAGATGGGATCATACCATGGTTTTCTGCTTCATTTCACATAAGGATTAATCTCAAACACTTTTCCATTTTTCCATATCAGTAATATACCTCATTCCTTTAAATGTTGAATCAGTTTACTCAAATAATATTATTTTATTGGCTCCTAGAACTGGAAGAGACCTTAAAATTTGTCTCTTCCAACCTTCCTGGCAGTGAAGGAATTCCTTTTACAACATTCCCAGCAAACAGTCTGCTTGAGCTCAAATCCTTCCAGCTAGTTGGCGCTTACTGTCTGCAGAGGCTAGACATTCCTCTGTGTGAATGGCTATGATTCGTTGAGGGTTTTCCCTCATATTAAACTGGAATAATAAAAATAATTTTCTCAATTTTTCTTAAGTCTTTAGTGTCAAATAAGAATTTAAAAAAAGAATATATAAAAAAATAATATTAGGATGTTTACCTAATGATGCCATAGCTTCCTGGTACTTTACCATGTGAATTGGTAAGAAAGTCACTGCTCTGATGTGACTATACCTGTGACCTTTAACCAAACCACACCTCCACGTATTACACAGATTTCTCATCCCTCATCATCCAGGTTAAACTGATCAGGACACACCGTAGCCTCCCAAGGTCCTACCATTTTGTTCTCAAAACTGAAAGTTTCCCAGACACAGTCTGAATGTAGTAAAGAGTAAATGAGATTCCCTTGGCAACCACATCCTGGGGATGCAGGGTAAAAAGGGAGAAAGTGCTATTGAACATGGATTGATGGTCAATCCTTAGGCAGAATGGAAATAAAGTTTATTATATGTGTGAAAGCAACCAGAGACTAATCTGAAATAGGCTGGCAGGGTTCCAGCCTTAAATCAGCATTAAAACCACTTTGTAGTTGACAGTTTGATTGCATTGACTCTCACTGGGTAAACTGAATTGTGGCAAAATGACATTTCAAGCCTTCAGTCTGATGTTGAGGGGATGGTTGGAACCAGTTTTCACAGGCTTTGGCTGATTTATAGTGGGTACTAAATTCACTAAATTCTCAAAGAAGACAGTTGTCAAAATCACTGACTCCCCTGAAGAGTTATGACTCCATGACCTTCCTGTCTTCGCCACAGATGAGATGCTTAATTGATGTTCTTTCTCCCTCTCCTTTACAGAATCACTTCCTACTCAACCACCTACTTTTCCTCCAACCATTCCACCAGCAAAAGAAGGTAAAAGAATTATACAATCATGATGTGATTTTAGGTTTTGGATTTCTGTTGGTATTGTTTGTTCATTTAAAAACCAAGGTATTAATGGAAGATATTTTCTCCTTAATACAAATGCTTATCAAACCCTTATGGGGTACAACTTTGCAATGAGTAGTAAATAAGACATAGAGATCTAATATGCAGTGTAATGAATAGAGGCAGCAATATTTTACTATAATTATGTGATGCGATAGAGATGCTAAATGTCATTATATCAACAATATTACAATATATAAATGTATCAAATTAGTATGTTGTACACTTTAACTTTATGCAGTGTATATGTCAAATATATTCAACAAAAATTCATCTAATAGTAGACTGTACACACAGAATAAATTTTCTAACAGAATTTCTTCATATTTATTTCATCAAAAATAGAGTAGTACATGTTTACCAAGGAAGAGTAGTTACATAATTTATGAGTGAGAATGTAGTTTATAATTCTGTAGACAAGGGTAACAGTGTTCCAGCTTACCTCCAAATGTCTCTCCCAGTTGTTTCTTTCTATCTTCATCACAAGAGTTTCTCATCACCTCTTACTTGAGCCATTAAGGTAACTTTCTAAAAACCTTTCAAAAACAGTAGTGATCGTTAATTTTTTTATTCCATTAATGAACATTTATTAACCCTACTATTCATTCTCAAAGCTCTTATGCCAGGTACTTGGAATACAATAACAATCTATGATTACTGCTCTCTGCTTATTTTCAGTATTGCAAGAGAGATAGGTGTTTGCCTAGGTAATTACCAGCCAAGGAAATGAGTTAAAAAGTGGAGATTATACTATGGTAGCCCAGAAATGAGAACAGTTAATGCTGCTGCAGGTTAATTACCTGTAAAGGAGGAGGAGGAATTTGATTTACATTTTGAAGAATGAGTTTTACAAGTAAATAATGGAGAGACAAGCACTCGAAGTCATGGAGTGATCTAAGCACATAATGTGTTTGGGGAACCATAAGCGCTTTAGTGTGACCCATAGAGAAAGGTGAAGATAGAGTTATGAAGTGGTTTGTGTGCCTGAATAAGGAGGCTGGGCTTTATCCTGTAGGACATGGTATGCCATGAGGAGTTTTATGAAGGGAGGGTGACCTGCAGAAATCTATGTTTAAGAAAGATAACCTTGGTGAAATGGGGAGGAGGGATTAGGGCAGGAGAGGATAAAGCTAGAACACATAGTTTTGGAAGACTTCTTTCATTTACCATGCATTTTAAAGTACCTATTACATGCCAGAGATATAATGAAAAATGAGTTGTTCCCACCTTTCAGAATGTTAGCAGACATATGGTCCATGCCAGAAGTTCCTTAATATTTGGTCCTGTCCAAAACAATTTGGCATGGACGAAAAATGCTCATAACATTTTGGATAGGATCAAATTTCAAGAACCTGTTGGTGTAGACCAAATGTCTTATCAACGTTTTGGACAGAACCAAATGTCCTGCAAGGGACAGGAGCATAGTCAGAGGGGTCTGATGCTGGAGAGTGTAAGGATCAAGGAAACAAAGAGGTAATGAGAAACTATACAAAAATAAAGCTCAACATCCTTCCTAGAATACCAGGCAAAGTCTTCAACGATCAACCTATGTTGTGGTATCATGTTCCAGACTATATTAGTTAACAGCACAATTGTATAACTCCGGGTTCTGCATACATGCCTTATGCTATCCTGCATCTTTTAATGCTGTTGGTTCTACCTGGAATGCCAGACTCTTTCTTCTTCCATCTTCATATCTAGCTTTTGCTAGTCTAACTATTTATGATGATTTTCACTATTGGAACTGGAAACAGAATCCTAATTGATGAATTTATCAGACAATTCTGATACAGATATTACAGGACTCTCTGAAGTCAGAATATTTTTATTTATAGCAGAACATGAGTATCATGCAGTCAACATTCATGAATGCTCATGGGAGACATGTGATTTGGAAGGGTCTATGAGGGTGAGGATTGACAATGTAGGAACATTTTTCCTGTAGTTTTCATCATGATGGTTTTAGAGAATGGGGCTTCTGCAACTTTAATGCATTATTCATCTTAGTTTCTGTTTGTCCTGGCTGTATTTAATTTAAAAGCTTGTAAATTTTTATTATTGAGTATTGAGTATTTATTGAACAAACATTGAGTATTTATTAAACAAACATTAAGAAACAGAAAAGAGAATGAGGTTGCTGGTGGGGGTTGAGGAAAGAGAAACCGAGGGAGAGAGTGTAAGCCAGAGAGGGGAGAGGGAGAGAGCAGGAGAGAGAAAGAGAGAGAGAGAGGGAGAGAGAGAGTGAAGTGCTGCAGGCTTCATATTTGACAGGAGGGGGAAAAAAAAAACCTCAGTGACAGTTCTGTGTTACTGTGTCTGGCTTAAAGAAAAAAATTCAGGACATCCAGGCTGAAAAAATTCAAAGCTCAGTGGGGACTACTTCTATCAAGAGAATTCTATGATCTGAGAATGGGTTGGATCAGTACAGGTGGTTTGAGAAGACACTGATGAGGACCATGGAAACATGGGAGAATACGTATGGCTTCTCTGCTTCCTTTGAACAGAGCTCTAGGCACCACAGGGCCACATAAGGAGGGTGAGGTTCCTGGAGTGGGCTATATTTTCATCACTGTTGAAGATTTTATGGAATTGGAGAAAAGTGGTGCTCTCCTACAAAGTGGGACTTACGAAGGCAGACCTTCAAAATGGCGGAGGAATAAGATGTGGAGATCAACTTCCTCCCCTCAAATACATCAGAAATACATCTACATGTGGAACAACTCCTACAGAACACCTACTGAATGCTGGCAGAAGGCCTCAGATTTCCCAAAAGGGAACAGACTCCCTCAGGAGACCTACACTCAGAAGTGGGGCCAAGTCCAAAGCTGAACACCGGGAGCTGCTCAGACAAAGAAGAGAAAGGGAAATCTCTCTCAGCAGCCTCAGAAGCAATGGATTAAATCTCCACAATGAACTTGATGTACCCTATGTCTCTGGAATACCTGAATAGACAATGAATCATCCCAAAATTGAGGCAGTGAACTATGGGAGCAACTGTAGACTTGGGGTTTGCTTTCTGCATCGAATTTGTTTCTGGTTTTATGTTTAACCTAGTTTAGTATTTAGAGTTTATTATCACTGGTAGATTTTTTTTATTGATTTGGTAGCTCTCTTCCTTTTTTTTTTTTTTTTTTTTTCTTGCGTTATGCGGGCCTCTCACTGTTGTGGCCTCTCCCATTTGCGGAGCACAGGCTCCGGACGCGCAGGCTCAGCGGCCATGGCTCACGGGCCCAGCCGCTCCGCGGCATGTGGGATCCTCCCGAAACGGGGCACGAACCCGCGTCTCCTGCATCGGCAGGCGGACTCTCAAGCACTGCGCCACCAGGGAAGCCCCCTTTTTTTTTAATATAATAAGTATATATTTTTTTCCTTTTTCCCTTTTTGTGAGTGTGTATGTGTATACTTCTTTCTGTGATTTTGTCTGTATAGCAATGCTTTTACCAATTATCCTAGGGTTCTGTCTGGTTTTTTTGTTTGTTTTCTTTTGTTTTTTAGTATACTTTTTAGCGCTTGTTATCATTGGTGGATTTGTTTTTTGGTTTGGTTGCTCGCTTCTTTCTTTCTTTCTTTATTACTTTTTGACTTTTATTTAAATAACTTTATTTTATTTTATGTTATTGTCTTTTTCTCCCTTTTCTTCTGAGCCATGTGGCTGACAGGGTCTTGGTGCTCTGGCCAGGTGTCAAGCCTGTGCCTCTGAGGTGGGAGACGTGAGTGGTGGACATTGGTCCACCAGAGACCTCCCAAATCCACATAATATCAAATGGAGAAAGCTCTCCCAGAGATCTCCATCTCAACACAAAGACCCAGCTCCCCTCAACGAACAGCAAGCTACAATTCTGGACACCCTATGCAAACAACTAGCAAAACAGGAACACAACACCACCCATTAGCAGAGAGGCTGCCAAAAATCATAATAAGGCCACAGACATGCCAAAACACACCACTGGACGTGGACCTGCCCAACAGAAAGACAAGATCCAGCCTCATCCACCAGAACACAGGCACTAGTCCCCTCCACCAGGAAGCTTACAAAACCCACTGAACCAACCTTAGCCACTGGGGACAGACACCAAAAACAATGGGAACTACGAACCTACAGCCTGAGAAAAGGAGACCCCAAACACAGTAAGTTTAGCAAAATGAGAAGACAGAAAAACTAACAGCAGATGAAGGAGCAAGGTAAAAACCCACCAGACCTAATAAATGAAGAGGAAATAGACAGTCTACCTGAAAAAGAATTCAGAACAATGATAGTAAAGATGATCCAAAATCTTGGAAATAGAATAGAGAAAATACAAGAAATGTTTAACAAGGACCTACAAGAACTAAAGAGCAAACAATGATGAACAACACAATAAATGAAATTAAAAATTCTCTAGGAGGGATCAATAACAGAATAACTGAGGCAGAAGAATGGATAAGTGACTTGAAAGATAAAATAGCGGAAATAACTACTGCAGAGAAGAATAAAGAAAAAAGAATGAAAAGAACTGAGGACAATCTCAGAGAGCTCTGGGACAACATTAAACACACCAACATTTGAATTATACGAGTCCCAGAAGAAAAAGAGAAACAAAAAGGGACTGAGAAAATATTTGAAGAGACTACAGTTCAAAACTTCCCTAATATGGGAAAGGAAATAGTTAATCAAGTCCAGGAAGCACAGAGAGTCCCACACAGGATAAATCCAAGAAGAAACACGCCAAGACACATATTAATCAAACTATCGAAAATTAAATACAAAGAAAAAATATTAAAAGCAGCAAGGGAAAAACAGCAAGTAGCATACAAGTGAATCCCCATAAGGTTAACGGCTAATATTTCAGCAGAAACTCTGCAAGCCAGAGGGAGTGGCAGGACATATTTAAAGTGGTGAAAGGGAAAAACCTACAGCCAAGATTACTCTACCCAGCAAGGATCTC